GGCCCTCGCAAGAGCTCATCGTTTTCGGACAAAACTAACACCTCAACAGAAACCAATAATAACCTTCACGCATTTGAGCCAAAATGATGTGAGAGCAGCTGTCTGTTCAAAGACGGTTTTGGTTTTATAATTCTTAACAATAATTGAAAGGATATTGCCAGGTATGAAAGTGATGCCCTCATGTTTATAGTACAACTGAAGTCATTTGAGATTACATAATAAACAGCATATTCACATAATTGCTTGCAAATAAATTATTAAGAGATGTATTATAATCATGGTAATCCAAATGTACAGTAGCATGACTTTATTAAGCAATATGTGTGCAATTGACAACCAGTCCAATAGATCTCTGTTGTTTATTTGTCAAATTAATTTTGAGATGAGAGTTTGCGTATGATTTTCTGAATAACTACACTGTATATTTTCACATAATTGATCCTTCGTTTTCTTAATTTTGTAAAATTACTGATCAAACGGCATCTCTGAAGTATTTTATTTCCGTATTTTAGACGGGCAGCTGAATGTGTTTAAATCAAAACATAGAGAGGCCGAGATGGATAATAAATGAATAAAGAGAGTCTTTTAGTGGCCATTCAGATGTGTTGTCATATTTATTGTTTTTAATTCCTTCATTGAATGCTCGGTCTGTTGTATGTAATCATTTATTTTCTATGACTTTCTGTTCGGTTGAACAGCCTTGGACTGTCTACTGCTACTTCGGAATATTTGTCTGCTTCTGTGTGTTGTACTTTGCAATAGGACCAATGTAGAAAAATGTTAATGTTCTGCTTCTGTGGATGTGAATCAAACTGCAGGGCTCTGGTGTTCCTCTGCAGAGCAAGCAACAAAATCCCAGTCTTCCCTGGGACACTGGATGCCAGTTGACTGGCCCCCTTCCCTCTCTGTGTTAAGACAGTTCTCCATTCGTTGCATTCTTATATAGGACCATATAGTCACAAAGACCTTCCCGATGCAATACTGCCAACATCTCAGCTTACTAACATCTCCTAACACTCCCCGTCCATCCCATCTAAAGACTCTCCCAAAGAACTGATGCCTTCCTTTTGCATTCATCCGGTGTGGAGGTTCCAGTGTTGTCGATTCCTTTCGTGGATGCTTTGGCATGCTTTGAAATCCCCTTCTACAAATGAACACATAGGCCAGTGAAGAAAAAAAGCAAGCCTTTCCTCTGGCCACTCTTGTAGCTTCTTGTCATCCTGTACAACCACAATGTGAAAGCCTTGATGAAGACCAACCAGTAGAACGTCTACATGCAGATTTCTCCATGAGTTATTGATTAGTTAATCGTAGGAAATAAAGATCTTTTAAATATATAGTTTGTTTGGAGTGGTGTGTCAGTCCTTGAAATGAAACATCTCATGAGTGACTGAATGATTACTATGTTCATCTAGGCTACTGTAGGATTTTTCTAGTACTCTCAAAATTATTTTAAGAATACCATATTTTAACCAGAACAAGATGTTTGTCATATCTAGTCATGTGTTTGATAAACCCACTCACACTGAGCGGCAAATGTGTGCTCTCGCTAATTATTTTTCATTGGTTAAAAACGACTTAATCGGTGAATTTTGGTTCGCTGTGATTGGTCCATCCTGACTTGTGCTGAGAAATGTAACAGGCCCCACGTGACTAAGCCCATCTACTTCAGCGGTGCGCTGAACAATAATAGACACCTGTAAATACATCTTAAAAAAGGAAAGGTATTGAATTTAAATAAAACATTGAAGAATCACAATATAAGAAGCATTACTTATACCCACCGTCTCTGCCCATTCTACCGTGTATTGTATTTCTGAAATGTGTCCTCCTGTGCAGCAGGTGGCAGTAAAGCCTAATAAACCCTAAAGACTGGAACTCGGGTACTTACGAGGAAAACGGCAACAAATCTGACAACAAACGGAGAAAGTCTGCCTTTCAGTTTTAAGAGACCGTTTTATTAATCGTCAGTGTTCCACAACACAGGAAAGGCTTCGATTTATATCTCCAGGTAACTGTTTTGTTTTGTTTGTTTGTGAGTTAAGTTAAATCTGTAAAGATGTCAGCAGTGCCGCGTCAGCGCCGAGACGCTGCACTGTTTAACTTGTGTTGCGTTGTCTGCGCGAGGCATATTAATAATCGATATTTATGTGCGTGTATGTGGTTGTTTGTCCTCAGCTCCGCATCATGTCCGCAGACCTGGATCTTTCTCCTCCGGAGGTTCCCGAGCCCACTTTCTTCGAGAGTCTCCTGCGTTATGGATTATTTGTTGTTGCCATTTTCCAGCTCATCTGTATTTTAGCTATAATCATACCCACATCCAAGAGCCACGAACAGGTGCGGATAACTTCCAGTGCCACAGATATCTGTGCTTTTCAGTAAAGTCAACCAAATATAGAATCAGACCTTTTTGAAACAATCATACCTGCTACTATTCTTATGTTTGGATATCTTAAAATGCTTTTTATACCCGGATATGACAATGATTATTGTATTGTAAAAAAAAAAAAATGTTGATGCCGGTATCAAATTTTCATGTTGCGATTAATTGCTAATGCGTT